AAATTTTTGACGCAACGATTGAAAAACAACATTTATTCTGTTTAATTTTAAAGTTGATAAAATGTATAAAACTATTTACCATACTTATTTATGATCTATTCCAATTATTGGTCCAATAAAAAAAGTGTCTTATCTATAGTAATTGAGCTAAGACTTGAACTTTCATCGAATATGAATGAGCTAGAGCTCAACTTATTTATCAAAATATGCTCAACTAACCTCATAGTTTAGGAGATACGTAAAATCTCTCTTCAGCCCAATCCGACTCGTTAGTCAAACGAGGCATTTAACAAGAGTGAATCGAGTCGAACTCAACCAAGATGATCCGAAGAACGATTCGATTCATTTAATGGATCTAGAAAAATGGCTAAACTAACTTTCTAGCTAATAAAATGACTTCATGTATACCTATATTCTTCAACTCAATTTAAGCAATATCATCCCAATTTCCACCTAAAAACGTTATAAGACTAAAATCTGTCAATGGTGTAAGTTGTTCAAGATGGCCTGCATTTATCCTCTAAATCTGTTGGTGAAACCAGCTCTAGAACTCAGACAGCTGCCTTAACCAGAATGTGGTATACTACATGGCACCTCCCCATAAAGAATAAAATTAAACATTTTCTGTAGAGGTGTTGGAATCAGTTCCTCAATACTAATGATCAACTTATTAAGAGGAAGATGGCATTGGATTACATTTGCTCTCAATGTGGGTGTATTGCTGAAGATTTGGATCACATCTTGTTTAACTGTGTTAGGGCCAAGTTAGTCTGGAAATTATGTGGGGTGGAGTGGAGCTGCTTTGATAAGCATAACACTTCCTTTAGATTGTGGTGGGGAGAAATTTGCAGTCATCCTTTGACTGGCAGCCTCAAAGATAGAATCACATTATCCTCTTATATTCTTTGGTGGCTCTAAAAGACAAGGAACACTTGGGTGTTTAAACAGGAAAAAATGAGTGAGAAACAAGTGGTAGATAGAGCCAAAGCAGAATGGCTGGCGTTTAGAGATAGTTTGGATATAGTGCAGCTTTCTTCAAGCCAAGATTTGCAGCTTCAGGGGGTACCTGAGGAGGAATTTTCCCAGGGGATAGGGCAATTGAGGCTCATTGTCAGTGCTCATCCCTCCTCAAGAAACCAACTGAAGATGTGTTGTGTTGTTATGACAGAGGGCCAATCAGAGCAAAAGCTGGAGCATTTCATCAGTTATGAAGGGTGTATTGAAGGCTAATGGTTGGAAGCTATCAGGTGGTGTATGGTGAAGGCTAGAGAAGCAGGATGGCTTAACTGCAGCTGTTTCATCAAGAATAAGGTTGTGAGCATCAAGCTTCTTCAGAAATCACCATTTGATACCTGAGAGACAGAAAATGATTTCTTCTTGCGTTGGTGGCCACAATATAAATCTTCTGAAGAAGAAATGAGATACAGTAAACTTTATCAACAAATTCAACTTCGGTTTCATTATATTTGGAAATAGTGTACATAGTTTGGAAATGTTTTTCCGTCTCATATGTTGTTGAACATGGGACTATTTGGCAGAATGACTTAAAATAAGCCTGGACCTCTTTTTCTACCTTGTTTCTCAATGCTCTTTCATATTGTTTGACAAACTGTTTCAATGATACTTTTTAGTGGACGTACTCATCGAAAAAAACATTCATGCTTTCGCATGTGTAGTTGATATTCATTCTAGCCCTTAATTTTTTATTTTTTTTTAACGCATGAAACCCAGAGACTATGGTTCATGTAAAATCCCAACAACCATTCATTGTCATACAATGCATACGTTGTGGTCATGACTCCCGACCTTGTTTGAATCCTCCAACCGTTTGAGAGTCATACACCAATTCATGTATTGTTGAAATAATTGAACCTTTATTGTTATGATATCAAAACTTTACAGGCAATTTTTTTTTTTTTTTTTTTTTAATGTGCCACAAACACCATTTATGTCTCGTATGGAGAAAAAAAATTCAAATGAGATTTTGCATTACTCTGTCTTGACCAGCGATAATTCCTTGAGTAGCTTAACCGTGCATACACTTAATCCATGTCTGAAAAAGCCAAACGAAGGTATCTGTATTTTCATTCGAGATCAAAGTGCAACCTAGAAGTGATGATTGTGTGTGATGATCTACTCCAACAAATGGTGCAAAAGGTATGTCGTATTTGTTAGTCAAGTAGGTTGTATCAAATGTGACAATGACCCTGATTCTTTATATGCTTCTCTACTTAGATTAGCTGTCCAAAAACTATTCTGTCAATGGGAATCATCATCCAGATACATGCAGAAGAGAAATCCAGCACACCTTGCTTGCATATCTGAATTGATTATATTGATGTTGCGTCCCCCTCTCACGAGCATAACCGTCTATATTTTTATAGTTACGATAATCCTTCTAGAAAAATGTCATATTATCATATCCACCTACTTCAACTACAACAGAATTGAAGCTTTCACAGAATGGAATTCTGGCCACGTCATTCACTTCAAGCCTTTGCTTTACACTTGCACTCAATTCTATACGGCATTGATATAATCTTGACTTAATTGGACTGCATATGTGATTATGGTCGAGGTAAACTATGTTAATTCTCCAATAACCATAATAATCTAAAGATGCGGAGATTCGAGCTTTGCATCGTGTATGAGTTGTTAATCACGACCTCAGTGAGCCCCTTGTGCCACTCATTCTTTTTCCTTCACGACTACATGTGAAAGTAGCGTATCGTAAAACAACACCATCATCCTTTCTTGAATTTTTTTTTTCTCACTGGAAAACTGGCACTGTAAGCATATTTTTTTATAGAAATCAAAGAAACTGTCAATATATTTGAATTACATACCAATCTCTAAGGCACCTATATTCGTACTACAATCTGTATGAACACTTTCAATTTCCAGCAACGGTTCATTCTCACCGCCTTCCATTTCGATAGTTGAAGATGTAGTCTCGTGGTTGTATATCAGTTGCAGATGGCTGCTCCACGGTGTCTTCTGGCTTCCTAGTCGATTAGGAATTTTGGGGACTGACTGTTAGATGTGAATTCCTTTCTTTTTCTATTTTATTTTTATTTTCTTTATGCATGTAAATTAAAATAATACATGTCCAACTTATAATGTCACATCGGTTTGTAAATAAGTGTTGTAAATTAATGTTGAACTTCCAAATT